GGAAAGGAGACCCGTGGGTTGAAACAGAAACAGATACAACAAAATAATAATAAAAAACCCCAATATTAATAACAGTAGTAAGTATACTCAGCCGAGGGAACAAGCCATGGAAGAAGAATGACAGACGAGACCCTCCTTGGATAGCAGCCATCAAGGAAAAGAGAGCCGTCCCCAGCAAACTCCCCAGTTTATAATGAGCATGACATTTATGGTATGGAATAATTTTCGTTGGCCAGTTTGGGGCCAGATGCCCTGCATTTGCTCCCCCAGTTTCTGCACTTGTTTAAGTTAAAACTGCTAAAGACCTTGATCACTGCATGCCAGTGCTGGCCAAAAACAAAGTGTCCGATCAACTTTGCTCCCACTAAATCGGGTGCTGTAGTCTTTGCAAAAATGCAGCTTTCCTGAACAGAAACCTGATTCTATGATTCTATCTCAGCAAAACCAGGACTCACAGCAAGTGGCTGCCAGCTCGGTGTCAGTTTTGCACCCAGCCTGGTGCAAAACCTAGGAGCAAAACTCCTCCAGTGCAAAACCCTTGCAAACCTGAGAGTTCTGCTGTGCTCCTCTGCCTGTCTCCAGCTGCCCCAAGCTTTACCTGGCAGCTGCAGAGGGGGCCAGCTCCACCCCACTGGTACCTGCAGCACAGGCACCTCCCAAAGTGCCAGAGCTGGGGAAGGTTACACTGGCAGAGGGGTTGCACTGGCAAAAGCCATCACACATGCTTAGCTGTAGGAAAAAAAGAAAGTCATGGGGCAAACGTGGCACATATAGCTTCAACCAGAGCATAAGCAAAAGCACTCTCTACCCGCAATAAGTCCCACTTTCCATATGCGAAGGAGATGGGGGAACTCGCTTGCACAAGGTCTGTAAGGAAAACTTTCCAGGGCAGGCAAGACAGAAAGCAGAAGAAGGAGGAGGGAGTCTACATATTCAGGGCCTTCCTTGGGTTAGGTGAAGGGTCGGGGCCAGGACCGTGTGACTCACCACGCTTACTCTGAGACACGTTGTCGGCCTGATGGGCCATTGCTGGGGCGAAACATGGGATTTGCAAGAGCTGCTATAACAAAATATCTCTTTGCAACCCGCCAACCAAAGACGCTACCCATGAGCTGCTGGTAAAGGAGAATCCCCTTCCACCCACCTCTTTGGGTGCTTTGTGCGTAGCAGAAAATATCTGCTGGTACCACCAGATGGACAGGATACCCAAGCTTCTGCTTTCAGACAGGGTTCTGTAAACAGCCTTCAAGGGCAAAATCACCAACAAGAAAGAAAACAGCTGCAAAAAGTAGCCCCAAATTTTTCCAGCCCTGAGTTTGCAGTGCTTACTCACTTCTTGCTAAGTCTGGAACTGTCGGGTCAGGCCCCCGCCCTCCCCTTCGACACAGCTACTCCTTACAGCTTGGAAGCTGTATTTTCCCACCCCGCTATCTTAACATTAAAAAAAAAAAAAAAACCTGGCGTGAAAGCTTTTATCATCCTGAAAACACGCCAACTGCGAAGGCGACTCTGTGTCTCAGACGCCTGTTTCCTGGCAGATTTTAAGTCCTTTGCTCAACTGCTAGGATGGCGGGGGCAGGAGATGCCTGCAGCAGCAGGCTGTGAACCGTAGTTTCAAACAGTCCCATGTTTAACTGCTGCTAAATCCCCAGGAGACCAACGTTTTCAAACATTGGGCTAAGAGCTAGACACGCAGCCAAGTGACAGCGCTGGCCCAGCCGAGGGAAAGGAAAGGTGTGAATGCGCTGCACAGTGATGCCGTTCATGGAGGTGGAGGGGCACCAGTATGGGACAGCTGCGACCCCTTCACTTCCCAAGTAACGAGGCTGAGGCTGTGTTGGTTCTTGGTGGCATGAAGGGAGAGGATAGGATCCAGCAACCAGGCTGAGCAAGGGAGAAGTGCTGGATGACTGTGCTGGGGGTGTCAAAATTGCCAGTGACCAGCTCTGGCCACAACCACCACTGCAGGCAACCGGAAAGTGCTGGGAAGTCCACGTGCAGGCTTAGATACAGGGACAGCCCCTGCTTTGATGCCACTCTGGAAGAGCTATACAAACCACAGAGTCCTTCAAACCGGTGATGCTTTTTGGGGCTCCAAAGTGCTCAGGGCTGGTTTTGCACACAGAAATCCCTCTTCTGCTCCAGCCTCAAACTGCAGTGCCTCAGAAAAAAACTGCACAGGATGAGAAAAGGATGCAGTTCTGTGAGAGGCTGTACTCTTCTAGACCTAGAAGAAAACTATCTCTTGGCACATGACCCACAGCAACATCTACCCTAGTCCCGACCTACAGTCAGCCCTTTTGCCAGCTGAGGATTTTCCCTAATGTTGCAATTCAGCCCATAGAGGCATCGCTTCAACCCTAAGTTACTTGGAACTGCCTGTGGAAAGAAAACTCAGTAGTCTGGGAAGACAGGAATTGATAGCCTTACAGATTTATTTTTTACCCTAGGGAGAAGTTACTAAGAAGAAACTGGTCTGGAACAGAGGTGCATGGGACAAGCCAGCTAGCTCTCCAGACGCTTTAAAAGGATTGTCTCACTCTGTGAAAAATAGATGGTGCCCAGGAAAGTGGTGCTTGTCAGATGAAATCACCACTCCTGCGTCATGATGCACCGCACGCATCTCTGAGGGGAGGGAGGGGATCCCATCCCTAGCACACAACCCAGGATGGCATTTTATGGACTTGCCTGTGGTGTCTCTCCAGCTATCACACTTATTTGTGATGGTGCAGAGCAATGCATCACTGCTGCTGCGGAGGGAAGTGGAAGGGCACAGCTCAGCTACTGCATGACCCAGCCATACAAGGAGGTAAGGGCTCTTCTTGTGTGTCGTGACAAGACAAAAAGAAAGCTGCAAAGCACAGACAACAAGCAATAGAAGTCCATCAATATGCCATGCAAGTTGCTTTCTGTCCTTCCTGCCCTCCAGATACACTTGCCCCTCCTCCTGAGTGCCCTGTTCACTAACAAGAGGAGCAGTCTTCATCCTCCTTTGTACTTGGAGGTCTTTGCCTTTTTCATCTCTCATCTTCCCTCCATCTAAACACAAGGATGGTGCCTTTTTCAAGAGGTAGCTAGGTACAAAACAGAATAAAGGGGTACACAGTAGGCTGACAGAGAAAACCACCCCAAAAACCTTAGTTTGGTCCAAGTCTTTGTCACATCTTGGGCTGTTGGGAACCCACAAGCAGCAAGAGCAGCTGCAGGCCACGGGCAGGAGGTGCTCTTCCAAGGGCCAGCTCTCCAACATGGTGCCCAGCCTGTGTAACATGAGCAGGGGAAGCATGGCTGCAGCTGGGACTGGTGTTCAGAGCTCAAAATTCAACATGGCCTAAAAAAATAACCACAATGAGATACCAGTAAGAAAGCAAACAGGAACCCACCAGGAGATGGGGAGCTATTTCAAATTGCTGGATCCCACCACAGCCCTCAGCTTTCCAGAGCCTGGGTCCCGTAGGGCATCAGGCACAGCAGTGATCACCTGTCAGCACTGATGCAGGAGCCGTCGGGGGAGAGGAGAGCCCTGCCAGCCCTAGAGCAACAGGGTGGAGGATGGGACATAGCCAGCATCTCCCTGTGGTCTCTGACAGCAGGACTCTCCTGCCAGGCCTTGGGAGAGGAGGGGTGGGACATTCCTCTAACAACAAGCAGGATCAGCAACAGCATCTGCACTGCCAGGGCCAAGAGGCACGCATTAGAAATGCTGCCTTTGTTCAACAGTGCCAGCCTAGAGAGAGAAAAAAGCAGCATTACTAGTGACACAAGAGACAGGTATGATCAAGGTGCGTGCCGCTCCCATTGCAGCTGGTTTTAGGCACTAGCTCGGGTAAGAATCAGCTGCAGCTTCCATGTCCTGTCTGGGCATGAGAGTGAGTTTCTTTCTCAGAGGTTTCAGATGCTCCTCAGAGTTGACCTGACATAAGCAGGCTGCTTTTCCAAGGTCAAGAAGCATCAAGAAAGCTTTCTGTACAGTTCAAAAGACAGCACTGACATTTTGGGGTGTCAAAGAAGAATCACCTCAAGTAGGGAACAGCTCTACCTTCAGTTGTCCCCATGAAAATTCACTGGAGTTCTGTGAAAATCGGTGTTTGGTAAAAGGAAAGCCTCCCCCACCCCGCTGCAGCAGTTCCCAAACCCAAACGTGTAATTGGCTGGCTGAAGTTCACAGCCTGCAGCCAGGACATTTTGGGATGCTTCCTACAGTGTAAGCCAAGCATGGAACATGACACAGGGCAGAAGGGATCAGTATCACCCACAGAAAGCACAAGCTTCCAGGGTAGGAGGAAGGCAAGTCTACGAGTTAGATGTGATCTGCAATGCCTTTGCATGGCTTGTTGCACGCTGCAGCAACAGCCTAGCGGTTCCCTGTACGCATGGAAAAAAGCCATTCTATGAAGTCATTTTTCCAGTGATGGGAATAAGCTTGTATTTTAATTACTATGTACCAAAACAAAAGCCAAACAAACTCAGTACTGCATGAAAGTGTGTTTATTCCAAAGCTAAATTTCTCACATAAAACAATGTCTCTGAAGAGCAGCCTCACAGATCTACAGCAGCCTTCTGTGCTCCAGGGCTTGGGGTCTTGAACGATCTCAACAGAGCAGTTGGGAATCTCTTTTCAGAGTTGTCAGAAAGGGGAGGGAAATGACAGAAAACAGATACATTGCCATTGGCACAATTTCTTAAATTGTGCCTGCTCACAAGAAGAGAAAAGGTGTCGAGATGCTTTGCAGGGAGCTGAATGTCTGCACAAAGATCGCACAGAACACCCTGCTCTCTGCAGGCTGCTTGCCAAGGTGCAGCTGCCACTGTCAGGAGAGAGCTGCGTTATTCCTGCAGATAGAAACCAGGGCCGTTGGACTCAATAATCTGCTGAACTGCTTCCAAGGACTGAAGTGGCTGAGAGGTTATGTCAGTGATGTGCTCCTTTGCAGCCTGGAGCCCTCGCACCAGCTCCAGTGTGCCTGTTTGGTTCCAGCCGACACCCTAGAGGGATTTACTTTCTTCCTCCTGCCTCAGCCTCTTGGAGAGATGCTCGCTGATGGCCATAAGGGGGTTGGCTCTGTACCTGGGATTGGCGATGACCTCATGAAACCGAGCCACTTCTTCCTCTCTGAGGAAAGAAAAATAACACACGTGCTCAGTGCTTCATGCAAAAGGAAGTGAGCAGGTAAGAACAGAACTCATCAAGCAGCGGGTTTCTGTACAGACAGAGTGATTCTGGGTCTAAACCTCAGAAAGAAACAGTGCAAGAAATAAAACTCATTTACCCAAGGGCAGAGCTCAAACTGTTGCCAGCTTCATGGGAGCCAGATACTTGATCTCATGCCACAGAGACAGAAACAATCGTGTTAGTGTCCAGCATCACTCGGAAATGGTTTCTTTAAGTGCTTTTCCCTAGTAAATCAGGAACAAGAGACTGTGGGTATCTGGTAAATCACTAAGAATGAATACTACTTCAGAGTGCAGTAGCACAAAAGCAGATTCTGCTTCTGAGAGCTCATCTACTGATCCTCTATTGCTCAACGTAGCGGGTTGGTAATCCTATGAACAAGACTGGTTAAGCACCATGGGAGGTGCATGACCGAAGTACCTTTGCATGCCTGGCCACAGCTCGTTGCTGTGGAAGTGGTCTTAAAAAGCAAGCAAGCAGGGATAAAGAGGAGGAACAGAGCAGGAGGTGTGTAGAAAAAAAAGTGAGTTTTCAAGTCAGTCACATCCACTGTGACCTCCCCATCTCCCTCAGACTGCCAGGCTCCCCACAGCCCAGCCAGACACACATCCCCACATTCTCAGAAGTTGCTGTGGATCAGCAGAGTGCTCTTCAGCTTGCAGCATGCAGCTAGTTCCTTCTCTAGCAGGGCCCTTTCATTCAACACCAGCCCTGCCCCTGCCAGAGGAACACAGAGAGAAGCCAAACCTGAAGCTTGGGTTGTGGTAGTTGGGGCAATGGAGTGAGGCTTAGGGAACTAACGTCCTGGAAAAGAAACCTCAAAGAAATGTCCTCCAAAGTTTTTCCCTCCTAAGAAGCACAGACTTCCAAGACCACTATGGTAGGATACATGCTACTGCTCAGTGCCTCTGCCTAGTTTTGTGCAGAGAAGAGGGGTACACAGCGGGGGTCATTGGCTTGCTGATACAGAAGGTTGTGGTGGAGTTGCCTATTTGGATTTAGATCTGTATGCCAGTGTTCTCCACCCCTGCGTTCCAGCACGAGACACTCACTGATGGCACTCGAGGCCATGACCCTTGGACTTCTGCAATGAGCCAAGAAGGAAATCATTCAGAAAGGCAGAACTGAGTGAGAAAGGCACCCCAGCATCGACACTGGCCAGCTTCAGACAGAGAAGTGTATACACAGGGCATGCTAGAGAGCAGTGCTGGAATCTGTAGACTGACCGTGCACCTCAGTTTGAAGTTGACTGGCTCAGAACTGACAGAAATCCTGAAAATAGGGATCACAGAAAGCAAACACTGCCAGACCACAGCACCTGGCCCAGGGAGAGCTGTGCTGAGTGGAAATCACGTTTCTGATGGCTGGTGGCAGTATAAAATATCCAACAGATTACACAGAGGACTAAGGAGTTGCCAGGCTCATAACCAAGTCCAGGAATTACTCAAAAGCATTTAATGCTTCATTTTACAAGAAAAGGTTTGGCAAATGCCAACAAACAGCTGTCCTCGTAAGGGACGTACTGCATATAGAGGTGTTGCAACAGAGCAGCTGTAACTCCTGATGCTACACAGAGTTCCAGGAGCTTCCCCCCTACACATCCATAGGAGGCTTTCCTGAAGGGTATCAGCTAGAGCTACGTGGCTCTGGTGTCATAAGAGACTGAACCACAGCTGGAAGCTGCAGTTCTAACTCAGCAAGCCAAGACAAGGGATGCACCCTGGCTGATAACCACATCATCCATGCTGCACAGAGGGACACAGTACAGACTTGGTACCGCCAGAAATGACAACTGTGGCCAGGAGGAACAAGATGACAGCTGGTGTGAGTTTGCCCTGAAACCCCACAGACCATATGCAGGAGGCCCCCAGCCACCACTTTGTTTTCAATGAGACAGGGCAAGTGAACTCTTAAGTCAACTGCAAGTGCAGTTTCCTGTGCTCTCTTCACTTAGATGATACATGAGACAGAAGCAGAAGCAGACCGAATCCATTTAGAATTGATCGAGCCTGGCAGGGACTAAGACAGAAGGACATCCACAAACATCCTGCACTGTGTAAAGCGGAAAATCAAAGCTGCCACCTCTTCTAGGGTCTTCAGGTATGAAAGATTGAAACACTGGAACTGGTTGCCTAGAGAGGCTGTGTGATCTCCATCCTTGGAGATCTTCAAAAGCCATGTGGACATGGTCCTGGGCAACAGCTCTAGGTGGCCCTGCTTGAGCAGGGGGATTGGACCAGCTGATCTCCAGAGACCCTGCCAGTCTCAAATATTCTGTAAGGACAGATAACTGGGTACTTACAAGAGCCGGTGTTTCTGAGCTTGTTTCATCAGAGAGAAGTCTGTTGGTTCTGCCTTTGTTTTTACATGGCTGTGGAGAAATGAAACAGAAGAAGTGAGTGTTACAGAGGAGCGGTAATTTAGCAATTGCTGTAGAGATGGAAAGAGTCCAGGGATTCTGCATCTGCCTTCCCAGAAAGTATAGGTAATTGTCCTGTATGGAAATAGCCCTGAAAGGCAATTCTTTCCATAGCAAGACAGTAATGGAGATGCAAACTCCTCCCACCACACACTGACAACAGCTCAAGAGTCAGGACTGAATGGGCAGGAGGTAAATGCACTGAAGAAAAATCGGATCACTTAATTGTAGAACTGGTGCTGAGCTGTCCATGCCCAGATCACTTTCCCCTAATCACTAACCTCCAGGTCAAACTGATACTGTTGCTTAGAGAAAAGATCCCATCGAACTTCCCTCACCACCAGGCACACATCACTTCTGCACATCTCATGTTCCTTGCTAACGCTGCCGAGCTCCAGCATGGGCAGACATCAGTGACAGACAGTGCCACAACTACTCAGCAAGAAGAGGGAACCGCCAGCTCTACTTCAAGTCCTGTGGTGGGACCACTGCGGTATAAGCTGTCATGTATATTTTAAGATAAAGAACGGCAATATTCCTTTCTCCCTGTGAACACATACCCTCATCAAAGGCCTGCTAGTTTATGTGGGCTGCAAACAGATTAGCTAAAGAGAAAGCACAACAACAAAGCATCAGCTTTTGCTGCCAAACACAGATTCTGAGAACCCCTGAAGCTGCAAGAAGGTGGACTCATGGGAACGCAGGATGGTGCACTATGTGCAGCTGAGGCACAGCAGCAAGCACAGATCCACACTCTCTGCACTCATTTCTTATTCCTGAACAAAGTCCAAGGAGACCAGAGGTGTAATCCCATCCTGCGTGGGATGCTGGAAGCACAGTGGTACCCAATACCATGCAGCAGCAGAGATTTATCACAAGGCCAAGCGCTGAGCCCAAGCAAGGGACACACAAGAAAGGCAGCCACTGCTTTTGAGACTTGAAGTGCACAAGGGGAGTTGCAGGTAGAAGTGGACATTAAGAACATCAGAGGAAACTTCCATTCTTTAGGAGTAAACAGGAGAAGCAAGTGGGGAAGAGTGTCTGCCTCCGCAGAGCAGCTCCCCTCCGATTCACCCTGGCACACAGCCCAAGGGGAAGAGCATCTGCCCCCCACCCCTCTGTCAGGGCAGGGCTCAAGGAGGAATCTTCCCTTACTGGTGGGTGCTGGGGGCCAGGTTCTCTCCCACCTGCTCTGCCCCAGAGCCCTTCAGCTTTCTAAAGGTTAGGAAACATGACATTCCCTCACCTTCAAGATACCAGGGTGTCTCTCCCTTCAAGATAGCAGGATCTGGTCTTTTGTTGGTAGTATTACAGTGATTCCTCTCCCTATTTGCCTCTCTGACCTGCTACCCTCCATCCTTTTAGTTTGCATTTCTTTCCCATTCATCCTTTCCTCTTCCTCCCTTTCCCCATACTCCTTCACCTCACTCACTTTCATCATCCCTCCTGCTTCTTTTCCTCATCTCTCCCTCTCCCCATCCTGGCCCATTTTATTTGTCCTCAAGGGGGATCCTGGAGGACCCAAGCTGCTGAAGGTTGCTCTTACCACTGCCCCAATCACATCTGATTTACCCCCAGACCAGCACCACATGCCCCAGCATCAAAGTTCCTTGCTAACCCAGACAAACCCGAACAGCATGGATGTGTTGTCAGTCAGCCTTCGCAGCACAGATCAATGCCTGCATGCTGCTCCTATGCCTTTTAGTCCCTCTCGAGGTCATCCTGGCACTGCTGGCATTACACAACAGGCCTGGGAGCTCACCAGAAGCAGCGATCAGCAAGAGCAGACAAACAGCTACAGAGGTCTGAGCAGCTCCTGTCATGCTGCTGCGTCCACTGGTACTGCAACACACTGAAAGAGCAAGAAGTTCACAGAAGCACAGAGAAATCCCTTCTCGAGTGGGATGGCAACCCATGGTCACCACAGCAGGGGCTCGCCAAGTGTGCCACCAAGTCACCCTTCCAAGATGAGTAGCTCTGCAGAGGGTGACGACGCTTAAAGCAAAGCCTTTTGAGAGCAAGTCCTGGCCTGCACCAGATCGTGAGCACCAGAGGAAGCCATCCTGAGAGGTACAGCTCTCAGGATGGCTTCCTCTGCCGCACACCACAAGAGCACGGGGCTGCTTCAGGTTGTGGAAGTCCACTTTTGCCTTCAGTCACCCCACTATCTTAAGGGGTTCAGTGCTTCTGAATGCTTTTCAGGTCCACTCCACAGCTCTGCCCCACTGGCAGGTTTGAAAGGCCTGAATTTCCCACATCAAACCACTAGCGCACTGCCTGCTCACTTGGACCGCGCTAGTAGCCCTGTTTCATTACACTTCATTGCCTTCATTCATTATAAAACAGAATAAAAACCTCACTGTAATGCTCTCTTACCCAGCAGGAGATCAAATTCCTGGAGAATCTAATCTTTTATTAATAATGCTGACAAATCACTAGAGTATTACCCTTCATTTATGTAATGATTCAAATCCTATAAAAGCCTCTGATTATTTCAAACACTTATGCACACACATCCTCATGCAGTCCAGGAAGCCACAAGCCAGCAAGGGGAAGAGCAGCACTGTCACTCCTCCATGCCAGTCCCAAGGGGGACCGCTTTTAGGCTGGCATGTCACAAGCAATCTGGGTGACGCCACTCAATGTCAAGCTCCCACCTCAGCTGTGCTGACTGCAGATGGTGCTGGACAATCCCCAAGTTCTCAGCCAGGGCTGGGTTTCTCTACCCTGCTGTACCACAGGCCCACCGGGCTTTCTAGACACCAGAGCTTTGCAGCTAAAATGAGAACAGAGCCAGAGTACGAGCTCAGGCTTCCAGAAGGAGAGAAGGGCTGCCACCCTCCCACAGGAGGCCTGGGTTTGGAGAGAGAGGGAGCTGTCTGCTTCTCTGAGGCTGTCAGGCTGGAGATCTGTGCAAGACCACCGAATGCTTCCATGTGTGCCACAGAACCTCTGCCATGAAGTGCACAGAAGAGTGTGGCAGTAGCTGGGAGGGCCATTTTGGTCAGTGTTCTGCCTTGAAGCAGCTTGCAGCAGCTGGCCAGAGAAGGATAAGACCAAGGCAAGTATATATCCTCTTCAGTATTTGCAGCTCAGAGACCCTGTACCAGCTGCAGCTTATACACCTGCAGTAACCCTTCACGGAGCTCTCCTCACTGGATTTGTCAGGCCGTACCTGAACCCACAGGTTTCCCCCAGCCACTCCACCTCTGCTTTGCAGAGCAGTGAGCCTTCTGCTTGCACTGAACCAGCTACTCACTAGCTATGTTTGATGTCCTTTACTTCTTTCACTGGAAATGAAGATGAACTACTTCTTAATCACATCACACTTGATTTTATAGACTATAACATTTCCAAGCCTCTTTGCCTCTCTCTCCCATCCAGGCTGAGGACTCCCCAGTTAAGTCACCCCTTGCACAAAAGCTGTGCCAGACCCTTCATGATCATCCTTGTCAGCTGTCTCTGAGCCTTTTACAGTTCTACTCTATCTTCTCAGCTGGTCCAGGACTGCAGGCTGCAGCAACACTGTGTATTTGTACCAGATTATGCAGCCACACAGGAAAGCAAACCCCAAAGGAAGCACCCTACCTGCCTTCCCTCCCCTGTACATACTTTCTGCAAGCCACTCTCCTGGGTAGCAGGGGCTCAGCCACCAAGAGGTCTGCGGGAGAGTGATGGGGGGAAAAGACTCCTGCACACTATCTAGAGTCAGATGCCAGACACGGTTGTGGCACATCATCACGGAAAGAGGACAAAGCCACCTATTCAGGCTCAGGCTAAGCCCAGGCCCAGAGCTCCATCCAGTCAACCCTGAGTGCTCTGCAAGACTTGAAACTCTGTGTGTACTTTTGCTGTTCATTCCCACTGAAAGAAGAGGGCGGGCTGAGTGAAAGGCTGCAAAAAGAAAAATTAAAAAAAAAAAAAAAGAAAAAAAGAAAAGAAATGCTATTCAAAGAAACAGTAGCCAAGTAAAGGAAGGAAATATTTTCCCATGCTTAGATACAAGGTTCATAGCTGCTGCTTGTCTGGGGAGTGGCTTTCCAGAAGCACAGGGAACTGCCAACTCAGCCATGCTCTGTAGGTGGGTGTCCCACCTGGGTCAGAGTTTATTTCTGGGGCATCCAGCAAGTCACAAAGGGGTTCATGGTATCTCCAGCCTCGATCTGCAACCAAAGAGGAAGGTGCTTTGCCAGAGAGTCTTCTTCTTGGTTGTCAGCCTCTAATCCAAATGCTTTCTTGTTACGGTCAAAACAAGATTCCAGTTCCAACCCCTACTAAGCAACTGGAGAGGAGGGACAAGTGTTTGTGCAGCACATAGAGCACTTTTATTGTGCACTGGGGGATGCCAAAGCAGCTGCAGCACTGATCAGATGGTCAGGCAGAGCACTACATTAAAAAGGAGAAAATAGAAAGGCAACCAGAACCCACCCTATGGCTGACTGGGATGGTTGACATGGGCGTCAGAGCACCAGAATAGCCCTTCTCTTTCAGTACAATAAAGAAAACAGAAAGAGCATCTTTCTGCTCTTGTCCAGAGTCACACTGCAAGCCAAAGGCGCGAACACAGAGTCTGGCCAGAGTGTAGAGCTCTGCTCAAAGGGCTTGAACTGTCTCAGGAGACAGCCTGGAGGTCTGGAAGGACAGCATGGCAGGCTGCAACACCTCACGTCCAGGTTCTCAGGTGAGCTCAGCAGCATTACACTCTGGACACTTGTGTGTCACTCCTGCAACTCCCAGGACATCTGAGTGCTCCCAGCCTGTCTCATGAAAAGACTCATCTGAGCAATACAGTTCCCCTCTTAGTAGTGTCACAAGACATATATAAGCTTTTTTCTTGCAGCAAGTGAAGCAGGGCAAGGGGTGAAATGGAGCCGAGAATGAGAAATGAAGCTAAGAACAAGCTGTTCTCTTGACCAACTGCATTGAGTTTGCACTGTCTGCAGCTACAAGCTGAGCTGAAGGGCACCTCATCCTGCAGGAAGAAGGGAAATACACAGCCCATCCCAAAATGGCACATACCTCTTGGGTGGCTTCCTGCCCCTGCCACCAGTGGTCAGGGTGGAAAGTTCAGGCAGGGCTTCCATCAACGGCTGCATGTCTCCCACCACAGGTGTGGCTTTCCGCTTTGCTTCGGCTTTTTGCTTCTGCTTGGCTAGCTTCACACTTTCTATTTCTGAATCAGAAACAAGACATTACTGGAGGGGGGGAGAAGCGTTTGCAAGAGATAACACTTGAGCTAAGAAATTCATAGGCTGCTTCACCATCTACAGGAATAACAGGCCAGAAAGTTATTTAAACCAGGGAAAGACTGAAAATAATGCAGCTGGATGGTTCCCTTCCTTGCTGTACTTGCTTATAATTATATACGTCTCTACTAGCATTTGCAAAGTGAAATCCCCAGACTGATTTAATCTGAACTGTTTCCATCCCTGGCACTGTTCCCTGTGCAACATGGCACAGGAGTTCTGGGGTTGTGTAGAAATAGGTCCTGCAGCTGCCAGCAGCCTCCAGGGCAAGCCCCAGCAGAACATATTCTCCTCCAAGACAGCCCACAAAAGCCCAGCACTGCTGCAAGCCTCCAGCTGAGCTCCAAGATGCCCTGACCTGTCCCAGAAGTCCCTTGACGATGTCACCAGAAACAGGTAGACGTCAGTAGGATTCATGAGCTCCTTGTCCTTCTGCCAGGTGATCACAAGGCCTGGAAACCTGCTGCATTGGCCTGACACCCATGAGGGGTACCAGTGCTGCAGAATACACGATAGAAGAGTCCACCTCCTCCACACGCACCCAGCAGAGGCCATAGCAGAAGAGCAGGCTTCTGATTTTTGCCTTGGACAACGAGCGTACTGGAAGGATGTTGAGCTAGAAACTCCTTGTCTGGACATGGCAGAGCACAGGGACCAAGCTGGCAAGACAGGGAGGCCAACAGCTTCCAACGCAGCACAGCCACAGAAGCAGGGCTAAACCAGCGCAAGGATATTTGGTGGGAAGACGAAAGCAGCCAGTCCCACTCTACAGAGCACAGGCAAGATGCCATTAGCAGTTCTGGGTCTAATCCTGCTGCCCACACTCAAGAAAGCAGAACTCAAATTCGCTGGCTAGCTGCTAGCTCCCTTAATGTCTGTGTCCTGTTCGCTCCCCAGCTCAGCTGAGTCAAAGAGCAACTGTTTTTCATGAACGGCAATTTTGCTGTACATGGATGTTTGTGACAAATCTGGATTGTAAATGCATCTCCTCACAGTAATCCCTGCCAAGAACACAGCTTTCTGTTCTGCATCACTTCTTTTTTTGGTCTGGCTTTATGAAGCTGACTACTTCAGTGCTTTCATAAACAGTATGTGCTCAAAATTTTCAGACACCTGATTCTGCGCAAACATCCCAAATTCTTTTCCTATGAAGTCTTGTTCGTCTGAGGAACCATGCGATATATGTATTTTTAAATGTGCATACTTCTAATGTCTGAAGCATTGCATAATTTTTTTCCCTCTCTAGTCTCTCCTGAGATGATTTATTGGAATGGAAGAAATCTAAGAGTTTTGCGTTTGCACTACTGGGCTGCACTTTATTTCCCAGGGTCTTGGCATCCAGTGTCACAAAAGCAGCCCTGGGACAAGAAGAAACAACAAACTCTTGGGAAGATTTAGGAAAACAGAGCTGTCTTGTTGAGATAAACTTCAGCAGTCCAAGTTGGGTTCTCTTCTGGGGGCGAGAGGAGCCGGCGAAGACTGCAAAACGCACATAGAACTGGCAGAGTTATTTGCATCAGATAAAAATCAATGTGTTTCAGTTGACTGCAGCTTTTTAAGGTCACAATGTTAGAATAGCACGTTTAATTTAAAAATCCCCATCTCTGGAAATACCAGTTCATTTCACTCCATGAGCTAATAATAATATGTTTCTTTATTGATGTTTATATAGGCTCTTTCCAGCAATTCCATTTTTCCTCAATACCAAGCTGCGCATCTGGTACTAACACTTGCTGACTTTTCTAAGAGAAATCCCCAGGTACTTGCTACCCTTGGCAAACCATTTGCTAGGGTATTTGCCAACTGGCCACAAGTTTAGTTGGGCAGTCAAGAGAGCCAGCAATTTAGGTACTTTTATATCTGTAAAGCACTGCTAATATCTAGTATCTTCTAAGACAGAGACAATTTAGCCAGAAGTTTTCTATCTTGGTGTTGTCCCCAAAGCAAAGCCTCTGCATTTCATTTGTATTCCCTCAGCTTAGTAATTTCAGAGCCAAGAGAGGAAGAAAGAAGCCAAGACAGGGCCAAAAAAACTTAAGTGATTTTGAGAAAGACTGATGCTACAAAGGCATATCTGCAGGAGGGCAGGATTAAGAGCATGTAGGGATCCTGCTCCTCGGCTTTTCCAAAGTGGCTGACCTTGGCTATGGGAGCAGCGCTGTCACTTAACTGCAGGAGTGCGCCCTCTGTTTCTTACAGGAAACTTGAGTCCCACGTACCCCTTTTACTGTGGATTCTGTCATAAAATGCTGAGGATGTGCCTTCCTCCACAGTCCTGGTATCAGGGGATGGAAAGTGCTGCTGTGCTCCAGCAGTCCCCTCCTTGGTTTGCACAGTAGTATCACACAAGGAGAGACCTTCAGGAGCTCCAAAACTGCAGCCAGCACACCAGACGTTAGGACCAGCACAGCCATCTCTGCTTCATGGTCAACAGGGACACGGAGGGTTGCAGATGTCAAAGGCACTTGGAAGTTGTTTGTTGGTGATAGGGAGGAGGTGTTAAATTACCAGCTTTTTATGTAAGAGGAACCAGAGACACCTTCACTGGTGAAATCATGGGTTGACGGACTTGAGCTCAGAGCTCAGGAGCAGAGAGCATATGGCGCGGCAGAAAGCCACGTCCCTCAGCCCCAGACACAGTCTGTCAGCAACTCTGTTGGGCAGGAAGGCGTTGAGGGAAAAGTCTGTCCCAAGAACAGCTCCAGGTGGCAAGAGGAATCCCTTTGCTACACCCCGCAGCACAGCATCGTCATCTCTTACAGCGCTGAGACGCTCTAAGTGAAAATACAGAGATTTCCCACAGGAAACAGAAGCATTTCTGCCATGGGCTGGTTGTGTTCAGCTCGTATTTCACAGCCTTGAGAAAGGCCAGGCTGTCTGTTAAGTGGGTTCACTGACCTGTGGCGCATAGGAAAGAGCAGTAACGCAACCAGCAGCACCCAAAGACCTTCCTTACCTAAAGGCAAGAGGGCTCACTGCAAGCTTTCACCACAGAGCCTTGGGGTTAGCTGGTGGCTGCGTAAGGCTCAGTTCCAGGCTGTCCTGCCACCTCCTGAGCTCCTCAGGGAGAAGGAGCTCCACTATACAGCTAGTCATCTCTGTACCAGAGCTTCAAAATGGAGAGAAACATGCTAAAACAACATGGGCATAGTATGCTATCCGGAAAAACAGGGGGCTTGTGTAGTCGCTGAGATCATATGTGGAACAAGTAGGTTTGAGGACTGACTCAATCTCAGTGCTAAACACTGAGAAACAATACCCAGGACTTTTACCCTGTGTGCTGGGGAGCAGATGTGAAGGTGGCTGAGAAGCATCCAGCCTCCCCTGGCACTGCCCAACTCTCCCACTCACACCCCACGTACAGAGAGATCCAACAGAGCCCCACTCTGTGATGCCCACAGTACTGACATGTTTCAGAGGACTACTTACTCTGTAGCCATCTTTCTTTTCTCAACTTCATTTTTTCTTTTTTGGAAAGAACTGGTTTTTCTTCTAGACCTAGAGGAAAAGAGAGACATTGAGATGGAGTCTGGCTCCTGCACACAAATTCAGTGCTGGACACTTCCCAAAACCAGCAAAGTCTGTAATATTCTGTTCAACCCTTGATGATTTTGAACTTGCTAGCAGGTGGGGTAGGCTGCAGGCAGACCAGGGGCTGTGTAGCACCTCAACTTTTAGCCAGACAAATCAAACCCAGCTCACTGTCAGTTCAGAAATAGGAAATGGGCAAGTACATCAGATCATCAGCACCACAGACCCTGTTTTCTCAGGCCAGGTAGCCCTTTAAGAAACGCTTTTTTGTGAGACTCCTGCCCAGTGTGCTGCACAATCTGGCATTTTCTTCTGAAGATGAGCTGCAAGTGACAGGAAGACCTACAGGTTCTGGAACTGGGAGCAAAAAGCAAGTTTTAATCTGAAAACATATGCGCTGATAAAGCTAAGAAGGAAAACATGGGCTGCAGACGTGTGTGAGGGCAGGAGGGGGAACAGCGACCTGACACGGCAGGCAGGGGAAGTACTGAAAAGGGCCTGAAATACCCAGATCCATGCAGCCCTAAGGAGCAGCTGATCACGAGCAGTTTCTCAAAAAGGCCAGTACCTACTACATACCAAATTCAGTACTTGGAAACCAGCTGTTGATCACTGATATCCAATACCAAGTAAAACAATGTCACAAATATTTTTACTGGAGTTCCACTGCAGACACTATAAAATTTTATCTTATCTTCATTGTTAAAAACAAAATTGACTTTCGTCAACTTTTCTTCTGAAATGTGCTGGGAATCCTGCTAAGGGAATGACAATGGAGAAATGAGCTCCCCAATGACCACTCCTCTCACCTGAGGCTTGGAAAAGAAAAAATACCCTTTTTCTTCCCAAAAGAAACAGAGGAAAGGAATTCAATGCAACTCTAAAAACAACTCACTGAGGACAACTTCTCTGAAGCTGCAAGTATTTCAGGATGATTTAAACAAAAGCAGGGTCATAATTTAGTAATTCCAATGCCTTAAGATGAGAACAAACCCACTGGGGCTGGGGGGGACAGGACTTTTCCGTAAAGCCAACAACCACCACCAAGTTTTGAGTTTCTACAGGACACAGAAAACAAAGCTGTAGCTTTCACTGCCTCACATGCCAGAAAAATATGTTACTGCAGTCAGTGCATCCAAGAAGCAACAAGTCAGGGCAACCCTAAGCACAAATACAGGCTGGGCAGAGAATGGATTGAGAGCAGCCCTGAGGAAGAGGTCTCGGGGGTGTTGGCTGATGAGAAGCTCAACATAAGCCAGCAGCGTGCACTTGCAGCCCAGAAGGCAAACTGCATCCTGGGCTGCACCAAAAGCAGCGTGGCCAGCAGGGCAAGGGAAGGGATTCTGCCCCTCTCCTCTGCTCTGATGAGACCCCACCTGCAGTGCTGTGTCCAGCTCTGGAGTCCTCAACAAAAGAAGGACATGGAGCTGTTGAAGCGAGTCCAGAGGAGGCCACAAAGATGATCAGAGGGCTGGAGCACCTCTCCTACTAAAGACACTCTAAGAGAGTTGGGTTGTTCAGCCTGGAGAAGAGAAGGCTCTGGGGAGACCTTAGAGCAGCTTCCAGTACCTGAAGTGGGTTTACAAGAAAGCTGTGGAGGGACTGTTTACAAGGGCATGTAGTGACAGGACAAGAGGTAATGGTTTTGAATTGGAAGAGGGTAGATTTAGACTGGATATTAGGAAGAAATTCTTCACTATGAGGGTGGTGAGACACTGCACAGGTTGCTCAGGGAAGTTGTGGATGTCCCCTCCCTGGAAGTGTTCAAGGCCAGGTTGGATGGGGCTTTGAGCAGCCTGGTCTGGTGGGAGGTGTCCCTGCCCAAGGCAGGGGTTGGACTGGATGAGCTTTAAGGTCCCTTCCAACCCAAACCAGGCAACAACAGAGACAAACATGTAACTGTGTTAGGGACCTATTTCTTCAATCCATTCACTGTGGTATCAAAGCAGATGTTAAAACAAATAATTGCACGTTCAAATAACCAACTTCCAGCTCCCCCGATCACCCCCCACTTTTGCAGGTTCAGGGAAAAAAGATGAATCACGAGAAGTCAAAACACAAACTGCGCCCCAACAACTGCTGAAGGGCTGGCTGCCCGAGGCACCTCTGCCCAACCCTTCTGGCTGTCCCAGCCTGCCCAGATTTTCGCCGGGGAGATTTGCCACCTCATCTGAAAACACACTCATTATTTCATTGGGAAAACTGCGCCTGGCAAGATTTGTTAATGAAAATAAAAGAAAAAAAATATCAGCCAGCTGGCCAATTCTAGTAATAACTGCAATTCAGATTTCTTTTCCCCCCCCAAACAGCAGCAGGATATTTAAGGAAACACAAAAGCTGTTTTCTTGGCAGGAGCCCAACCTGGCTGCAGGCCGGGGCCAGTGGCCGGCGCCTGGGCTGGCAGCTGCAGATCACCAGAGGGTGCAGGGACGGGAGATGGATCCCTCCTCTGCCTGATGTGAGCAGTCCGTTTCTCCGCCTGCTCCCCAGACACCTCTGTTTTACATATCCCACCCTACCCCTCAGGAGGTTTTGCTGATAGAAGGTGCCAAGTTGAGTTTGGCAACTTCCAGTCACACCGCCGAGTGCCAAAACCACTGGAAAGCCAGTGGAGAACAGCAGAGGCAGAATTTAGCTAGTTAATTAATGGCACAAACTGTCCCCAAGGTAGTCTTTTATTTTTATTTAGCTTGCAAGCAGCTCTGAGATCAAAGCCAAACTGCAGCTCCAGTTTAATTATTCTTCTGTGAAATCTAAAGGGTTTAGGTCCCCCCTTCCAGTCCATTCCACGTGTAATTTAACAACACTTGCCTTTGAAACCCTGTGCATGGAAGAAAGGTGAGCAAAATCCTCTGACATTAGCTGACGGTAATTTACAAACCGTAAACTTGACAATTATTCCTTTTACCAAGGATGTGGTTTTTTTCTTCCCTCTGATCTGTGTAGTACAAAACATCTCAAATATAAATTAGATTTAAAAAAAAAACCAATAGCTTTTTGCCTCCTACATCAAGTGTTTGATACTACTCCTACAATTCTTAGGATCCTGCTTTCACAGCAGACAAGCAGATTTTTTTTCAGTATAGCTTCCTTCATTTCAAAAGAGTTGAGTTTTTTCAGTAAAGGATTCCTTAAACTAAAAAGAAAAAAACCCAACCAAACAAATAATAAAGGTGTGTGTGTGTGTGTATATATATATATATATATATGTATATATGACTGCTTTTCATAAACGACTTCTTAGACTAAAAATATATATACATCCAACCTTAAAAGTTCCCACTTTATCCTTTCTAGGCATTCAGAAAGAAGCTGAACTGGGTTAAAGCCATAACACTACAGGCTTCCCTCAGCCCCTAGACCCCCACTATTTAAGTTTGACTCCACAACCGAGAAGGTGAAAACACAGGCTTCACAGTTCCAGGAAACCACATCACTTTGAGTACTTGGCCATGAGCAGAAATCTCAAATATGAGCAGAAATCTCAAATAAACCTGTGCCTGTGCAACGCCACACAAACAGGGGAGGGTCCTCCAGCACCAGGCACCTGGTCCCCACCGCACAAAGCTGCAGTGAAGCACCAAGTCCCCCCTTCAGTACCAGCTATTAAGAAATAGCATGTAGTATTAAGTATTATTCCCAGAACTCCAATGATACATAACAGTAAAGCTGTTGCTGCTCGAAACATAATATTTTGGCAGAACAGGGTACTGAATAAATTGAAGTTAAACAACAACAGATGTGTTAATTTTACCACAGTTGTATAACAGCAACGAAAATCAGCATATGCCTACAGCTGTGGGGTGAGTTCACTAAAGAAATTCACAGAGTGCATCCAAAAGCAGAAGATCGGGTGTGGTTTCTGGGTTGCTTTTTTTGTTTTGTTATTTTAAAAATTACATAGTGCCACTCGTAAATTTTCTGATACCCTTTTTCACTGAAAGGGCCTGGGAAATAGTAAACCACAGTCCCTTGGGGCAAACGCTAGAGTGCTGTGACCTGACAGATGCCAGTGCAGAATGGTCGAAGGTATCCTTTTTCCTCTAGGAAGAAAGTTGAGGGACAACACGGGCAAGGCAGAAAGTCAGCCAAGACGCCCTCCAGCAGAGATGGTGCACCTCTACCCCATCAAACAGCTCCACTTCTCCTCCAGAAAGCACTGACGCAGAAGTGCCCAGGGAGCATGGGTTGCTGGCGGGACTGCAGCTTGGAGGTGGCAAGGAGAGAAGCAGGGAGTTGATATGCAGGCTCTTTGCCCCCTTGCTCTTTAAGGAGCCCCCCGAGACAGCTTGACAGCCTGTACATGGTGCACAGAGACCATGACAGGAGAGAGTTTGGGTTAAACCCAGTCAAAGCCCTGCCACCTTGGGCAGGCTCAGGAACCAGAGATGGAAGAGAAGATGACACCTCCTGCTGCAACAGGACAGGTTTCACCATGGACACAGCATTTGCTTTTTACGTTCCAAAACAAGCTACATTATATTGTTCACGCTTCATCATTACACCAGCACACAGGCCTTTGCCCTCGATGAGGAAGGCATCCTATTTAAAGTAGGATCTGCATTCTCAGCCCTTCCAGATCGCCTGGTTATTTGAAGAGGAGCCTACTTCTAAGCCCAGCTTCCCATCCGAGACCCCAAGGAGCTGTGCAATTCATGTCCTCATACCAAGGTCATGCCTCTGTCAGGCCTGGTAAACATCCCCAGGCTTTGACCAGCTACAGCAAGGGCAAGAAACCTCCCTCTGCAGCAGAGCCAAGACTCATCTCTAGTTAGCCGCATAAGCGCACAAGTGACATGCCATCTGAAGCGGGAGCAGCTCCCCTCAGGAGGTGACCAAGAAGTCACAATCTGTGCAGCAGTCTGCGAAAGGCAACGCCGGAGACAGTCTGTCCTCCCAAACCTCCCAAGATGTCTCAAGTGCTGCAGGCATGCTCAGCCCCTGTCACGAGGTAAAAGTACCTCCTC